TGCAAAATGTGGAAATAAGCAATTCGAGTGCAATTATTTTTACCCTTTCGAAAGCTTCGAAAATCTTAAAATTCAAATCAAAAATATGCGTGTAGTATATATGTGTGTAGTAGTTGTAGGGATTATGTTGGTTCCAAGACGAATTCATACAAGGTTGTGTTAAAATTATGTGTCTGTTGTACACAACCTTGTATTCATTCTCCTTGTTTTGTTCTTTATCTGCAGATTTTCGCAAATAGTTGAAAATGCATACACTTATGGAAATAAAATCAGTAGTGCCTTGGTTTATGCAATAAACTATATGAAAAGAATTTTCCACAGGCATTTCGGGGGCGCCGGGTTTGAACCCCCAAAACCTCTACCTGCGTTCGCCCCGTACTTGATTAAAAAATAAATAAATGGTTGCATACCTTTGGGCATTTTTTTTTAAATTTCCTCAACAGTGAGGGCTAAAATAAATAAAAAATCTTTTTTTTTTTGTATGATAAATTATCTCATTTCAATTTAATTTATTGACAGATTATACAAGGCGAAATTACTTGATTTCAGCATGATTTTCTTATAAATTACAAATGAGCCGTAAATTACGATAATGTGAACATACTTTTAAAGAAAGGAAGTGATTATCTATACGTCGGAATATTTTTTTTATGTATGATAACGCATAACCGTCAAATCCTTTGTTTAAAGAAAAGGTGGTACCTCACAGGTGGTCCTATCCTAATTTGGTGTAGATCCGATTTTGATTTTTGCAAAAAAATTTCTTGTTTATTTAAACAATAGTCTTCGAGTGTCTTCTGCAAATCGATAAATTGTTTTAGTGATGATTTCTTCATATATTTTTTACAAAACCTCTGTGAACGCTAATCATACATAAATCTTAATTACAAGTAAGTAAAAATTTGTGAAGTGGGCCACCATTTTTTCGAAGGTCTAGCTTTTTAGAGCAAGTATCTGTTTATGCTTCACAACGAAAACAGAAAAAATACAAGTGTCACAATATTTCGAAATTAGAATTATGTTGGAAGGTATAGTTACATTCTGCTCATTTTTTAAACAGTTAAGAATGATGATATTTTCTTCCCAGTTTTATTTTTTAATTAGTCATAATTTTTTTTTTTGTAAAAGTTATTATTTTTTTTTTAAATATTACTGACATCCAAGGGCTTTAAAATCCCGCTTTGGGCTAGTATTGTATGTTCTATTAACAATTTATATTGTATGTTCTATTAACAATTATTTGCAAAAAAAAAAATTGCCGGAATGCATCGAGACGGAAGTTATTCACGCTTTTCTCTTGACGCCCAATGTATTTTCCAGGGAATAAAGACAAATAATGTCAGAACCTTCACAAGAACTAGGGGATGCTCGATTTTTCGCATGAACCTTTCATTTTGGCTCTAAACAACATGCCAAAAAATCTTCTGGAAAATACTCTAATTTTGTGAAAGGACACAGGATCTTTATTAACAGAAAAGAGTTTCTGAAATAAGAAAAAAACGCGAATAGTATAAGTATAATTAGTACCTATTAATAGTATATTGCTGCAAATAACGAAATTAAGCTGTATTAATTAGGAATAATTTTAATTTCTCTTTCAAGGTTCGCTGTGAGACGGCTCGTTTCAAAGGCCTATTTCTCCAAAAACGACTGGATTGCTTATGAATTGCGGTAACTTAAGTCATCTCGCAATGAGTGCAGATGGTTCTTCCATTCGTTTTAGCGACCATACACTGGACAAAGCAACAAAAGCCAAGGTCACTTTGGAAAATTATTATAGTAATTTGGTAACCCAATATGGAGAGCGCAAGCAACGACTTGCTAAACTAGAAGCCCAGCTAAAGGATGAAAGTCTAACAGAGTCACAGAGACAAGAGAAAAGGATCCAGCATGCACAGAAAGAAACAGAGTTTTTACGTCTAAAAAGATTACGATTAGGTGTTGAGGACTTCGAAGCATTAAAAGTTATTGGAAGAGGTGCTTTTGGAGAAGTTCGACTGGTGCAAAAAAAGGACACAGGGCATGTTTATGCTATGAAAGTTTTACGTAAAGCAGATATGCTTGAAAAGGAGCAAGTCGCCCATGTGCGCGCAGAACGCGACGTGCTTGTTGAAGCCGACCACCAATGGGTAGTTAAAATGTACTACAGCTTTCAGGTAAGCGTTCTAAAATCGTTCGTTTTCAGATAAGTGGACATTGGTTAGAAAAGGTTTCACAAACATAATAAAAAGCGTAGATAAAGTATGATCAGAGTAGGGATGTGTTATTTGCCAAGAATCCCGGGATCTTCGGGATTTGTAATTTGCAGTAGTGGTGGCAATAATAGTACACACAAAAAACTGTATTCCCTAAACCAGAGGTGGGCAGTCGGCAGAGCATTATTGTAGTGTGCGTGCAATTGATGTCACTGTATGCGTGCGAATATGTCGTGCAGTTGAATGAAGCTTTCGCTGCCTTCTTAAGCATAGCGTGTATGTATACGCGAATACGTCGCGCAGTCGCCCGCCGGGCAGACGCTGCCCAGCTGTGCCCTAAACCATGGGCCAAATATAGTAAAATTACGTTTTGAGTTCTTTTCTCTGACGTCGGGAGTTTTTTAAGGACTTTAAAATTTAAAAATATGAGTACACTGAAGGAAAAAACAAAGGTAAGTGCTACAATAACGAGGTTGATTCTACAATAAACAGCTATGATGGTCTACCAAAGCTGAAATATGTCAAATGAACTATGGAAATGTGATTCTTACGTTGAAAAATAGTGTTGATATTTTAAGATTGTTTCTTTTCAATTCAAATTGCATTAATGTTGATTTAAAAATGCGTATCTTTCATTCAACTTCGAAAATAAAGTGATTTAAACTTGACTTTGTTTTTGTTTTAACAATGATTACAGTCAATTTAAATACTCCCAATGTTGACCTAAGAATATAGAGTTGTTAATTTAACATTGAAAAGTAGTTGGTTTGACTTTTTTTTCAAGGTTGCTTCAAACACGACTTCAATGTTGGTTTAACTATTAACATTTAAAACCTCTAAGCTTATAATTTCCACAAGTATAAAAACAAGTTATTTATATATTTTTTTAATTTTCTTTTATTTTAATTATATTCAACAATTTTTATGAGCTCGAGGCCGTTTTCAGTGAAA